TTATTGAAGTATAGTTGATTTACAACATTGTGTTAGTTTCAGGTGTACAGCAAAGTGATTCAGTTATACATATAGTTTTTTCCAATATAGGTTATTACAGGATCTTGAATACAGTTCCTCGTGCTATACAGTAAATCATTGTTGTTTCTCTGTATTATGTTTAGTAGTTTGTATCTGTTAATCCCAAACTCCTAATTTATCCCTCCCTTCCCTCTTTTCCCTTTGGTAAGCATAAATTTGTTTTCTATGTCTCTGAGTCTGTTTCTGTTTTGTAAATAAGTTCATTGGTATTATTTTTTTAGATTTCACATATAAATGATATCATATATTCATCCTTCTCTGTCTGGCTTACTTCACTTAGTATGATAATCTCTAAGTCCAGCCATGTTGCTGGAAATGGCATTATTTCATTCTTTTTTGTGGCCAAGTAATATTCCATTGTGTGTGTGTGTGTGTGTGTGTGTGTGTGTGTGTGTGTGTGTACACACCACATCTTCTTTATCCATTCATCTGTCAGTGGACACTTGGGATGCTTCCACAGCACATCCATAGTTTTAACTTGTTTGATTCACACATGATTTTTTCATAAAAATAATTTTACACAATTACATACTTTAGAATCAACCATTATGATTCAATTACCAAATACATCAAACTTCTATAGACATTCAACTGTTTTATAAATTCCTTATCTTTACATTTTCATTATTTCTCCAATTCCCATTTCTCCCTCTCGCTCTCTCCACTGTTCTTTGCCCTACTGGTGAATATTTCACCTGATTCCAGCGCACATCTTAGCCAGTTTCAGTATTTTGGCTAACAACAGGGTGCTAATACACCAAAACTGTGACAATCAGGAGTGGTTTTTGCAACACAGTAGCTGTAGGCGAGGCTGACACGTTGCATTGGTTCTCTCCCCAGCCCCAAACCTCGGCCTCGCCCCACCGCCCCCTCTCCTGCTCCCTGGAATTTAACAAGGTTAAAAATTACGCTAGTCAGGGCTTCCCTGGTGGCGCAGTGGTTGGGAATCCGCCTGCGGATGCAGCGGACACAGGTTTGTTCCCCGGTCTGGGAGGATCCCACATGCGGCGGAGCGGCTGGGCCCGTGAGCCATGGCCTCTGAGCCTGCGCGTCCGGAGCCTGTGCTCCGCAACGGGAGAGGCCACAACAGTGAGAGGCCCGCGTACCGCAAAAAAAAGAAAAAAAAAATTACCCTAGTCAAATACAGAGTAGGATATATACCCTACTCCTTCTCCTACTTCCAGTACCCTTCGAAAGACCTTTTGAAAATCCTCACACGCTGTAATATAGACATCAATTTCCATTTTCTGGATAACAGCTCTCCTGTTATTTCCTTGAAATGATATTCTTTCATTTTCAAGTCAAGAGCCTTCATCTTCTCCTTTGTCGTCTTTTTTTTTAATCATGTCATTTATGTAAGATCCTTCCCTCCGTTTCCCAAAATCTCTTCTCTTCCGCACAGCAGTGCCTTTCCACCAGCAGCCTCTCCACGCAGGCAGCCCCAAATGTGCAAGGTGACCTCCCCCTGCCGTCCTGCTCCACCTTCTAAATGCCAGACATGCCCTACGACCTGCACACTCGGCCACGCGCCTGGCCCTCATTCCACAACGGCAGGCACATTCCCCATACCCCACAGCACCCGCAGGGGCCCCGTGAACAGGACAGGCGTGGAGGAGCCACAGGAGAGGAACGCGTAAGACAGCTGTCCCCAAACAGCTCTGTCAGCCGTGCCATCTGCCCGTATAACTAACTCCCAAGCACCTCCCAACCCAAAGTTAAAAGATTAACTGTTATCTGCCGCCTCAAATTTTCATTTCCCGAGTGACCTTGACCCCTCTCCCCACTTCCCCCACCCAGGGTGTACGTAAGAATGATCACCACCAAACTCTGCTATGCCTTTTTTAGTGTATTTCTTCTTTTCCGCTTCCTCTTGCTTGCTCTGCCTTGGTTTTACTTCCTCCCTCTGTAGACTTTCTGGAAAGTTCCTTTTATCTTTTGATATTTGCAGGGTGAGTCCCTTTCCCTGGGACATTCCTTTTTCACCTCTTATACTCACTCCCATTTCCTATGACAGGGTCCCCGGATCTAACAGACCTGGACAGCATCACTCACACCCACCAGCTCCCTCCTCTCTCTTTTCCAGTGTCCTGAAGGTGGGCAAGACAAAACACTCCCCCATGTCAGAAGCTCAGCTGGACTTGCCACTTCCACGTGATCTTAGTGGGGAAGGGAAGGAAGCCAGGGTTTGTCCCACGGGAAGCTTGCTGATCGAAGCATAACAAATATCCATCCTACCTCCCTCCTGTAGGGAGGCTGCCATCCTCTGAGCCCTGGCCGGCCACTTTCTTCCCCTAGGTGGCCCCCAGGTAAGGCCTGGCCTGTGTCTACACTGACTGCACCAGTTCGGCCACACTCACTGCAGTACTGCAG